GGGCCCATACCTGGAGTCCCAGCTTGGGAGCCCAGCCTACGTCTGTAGCCCTGCACATCTCAGCTGCAGGCACACAATGCCTTGAGCCTCAGTGAGCATGGGGGACAGACAGAGCCCCTGACGTGATCTGGATAAGGGCACATTGGCTATTTATTTAGGCTTTCTCTGAATGACTCTCCTATTTGGTGAATCAGATAGAATCCTGGCCCTGTCAGTGGGCCTCGTCGTATCTGACCGTCACCTTGGTCCAAGTATTGAGTCTATGAGGGAACTAGTTTGCTCCCTCTCACCATCATCTCCAGCCTCAGACATTTTACACAGTGGCTTTTCGCTTTCTCCTTGGGGGTTCTACGTGTCCACAGGGGGCCAGCTGTGTTCCTCAAGGCGCTCTGCGGTAAATGTTAGATTACTGCCTTTCTCTGAAGAGAATATCCAGATGACAAACAAGTGCATGAAAAGATGTTTAATATCATGAGCCACTAAGAATTGCCAGATATCATTAACTACTATCAGAACGGCTAAAAATAAAACTGAAACGATGGTGACACCACCATGTTTTTAACCTTTAAAAACATGTTATGGGAATATTTTCCTTCTGAGAATATAACATTACCTGGTAATAAGGATAAGAAGGAGAAACAGAAGGGGGAAGGAGGAGGAGGAAGAGAAGAAGGGGGCTTTATATGCATTTTTTAAAATGTTCTGTTCATTTTATATTTAAGTCCACGATTCATTTTGAGCTAATTTTTCAGGTGTGAGGTATCACTTGGTTCATTTTTTTTTTTGCTTAGGAATATTCCTAGTAATACCTAAGAAATGTAACCTTTAAAAACATACCTAGTATTTAGGCATATTTTATGGATGATAATGATAATAACCATTTCAAAGGGTTGCTGTAAGAATTATAAACTTTAAAAATATGCCAGGTATATTATACTAAGAGGTATATTATGCTAATATTATAATATTGTTACATTAGTATAATATTATACTAATATACTAAAAAATATTTATATACTTTTTTTTTTGAGATGAAGTCTCACTCTGTTACCCAGGCTGGAGTGCAGTGGCACCATCTCAGCTCACTGAAACCTCCGCCTCCTGGGTTCAAGCAATTGTCCTGCCTCAGCCTCCTGAGTACCTAGGATTACAGGCATGTGCCACCATGCCTGGCTAACTTTTTTGTATTTTTAGTAGAGACAGGGTTTCACTGTGTTAGCCAGGATGATCTCAATCTCCTGACCTTGTGACCCGCCTGCCTCGGCCTCCCAAAGCGCTGGAATTATAGGCGTGAGCCACTGTGCTGGCCTATACTACGTATATTTTTAAAGGTTATAATTCTTTTTTTTATTATTTATTTTTTTTTAATTGCATTTTAGGTTTTGGGGTACATGAGCAGAGCATGCAAGACAGCTGCGTAGGTACACACATGGCAGTATGTTTTGCTTCCTTTCTCCCCTTCACCCACATTTGGCAAAGGTTATAATTCTTACAGCAACCTTTTAGAATGGTCATGATGATTATCATCCATTTTACAGATGGAGAAACCCAGAAAGATTTGGTAATGTGACCAAGGTTAAGCAAATGCTAAGTGGTAGGAAGAAGCCAGGTTCAAATGCAGGTCTGACTGACTGACTCCCTCCAGCATTTAAACCGTGTTCCTATTGCCTCATTCAATCCCTTTCACTCTGGGAGTCTTGCTTCCTGAACAGATGTTCCAATTTCCTGCATACATTCCTTTATCCTGACCAACCTCAGTACACAAGCTACCAGAGGCTGGAGCCTGCCAGCACCTGCCCAGAGTTTTCCGTGACATGTTTACAGGTGGAGAACAGGGGTAGACTGAAAAACTTCCCTGTATGCAAATAGCTTGTCATTCTGGTTTGAGGAAAGGCTCACATCGTAGTTCAGCATCTTCTAAAGTATTACAGAGCTACTGTACCAGCTCACTTGTCTGGGAGGGGCAGGCTAAAAATTTTAGGTTCCCCAAAGACAATCACACATACACACAAAATTCATTTAATAATTACAAGTCCAGAACATTTCCATTCTCAGTCTGCCCAAACAAGATACACTGATAGAGGTCAGTCTGAAGGACTCAGAGCATTTTGGGCTGAAACTTCTATGGCTAGAACCTGTTCCTTGCCCCTTTTGGTGGGTGTGGGTCATAGTTGGACTATAAACACCTCACTATCCAGTCCTATTTGTAGGTAAATATGGGTAAAGCTAGAGTTTCCCTCCCAACCTCCCAGCTCTCTCCACTCCACACACTGGCTGCCGACTTCCCAACCAGGCAGGACCTAGGGACTTGCGCACTCAGACCACAGGAAAGAAACCAGGAACCTCTGGGCTGACTTTGCTCTTTTCAAATCCCTAAACCTCACCCCACTTTTAATGACAGATCCAGGAGTTATTTGCCTCTGTGACCTTATACTCAAAAAGGGTCCCTCCACTTACAACTTCTTCCAGAGCTTATCCGAAGACGACTAGGCCTTCGTCCTGGCCCACGTTAGACAGCTAGAAGGAGCAGCACAGCCCAATCACATGATGCAGTCGCTCTGGGTCAATGAATGTGTCTATTTTGCCTGACTCCTCAGAAGCCTCAGGGATGCTGGAACCCATAGCAGAGAGTTTCAACAGGTGGGTCAGCAGTAACACACCCTTACCCTGCAGTTCCTCCACATCCACCCGTGAGAAATTCAGAGGTGTTTTGTTTGGGATCCTGGCAACCTGCCTTGAGCCCTGGGTGGCCCCTACTCCAGGAATGATGCTTTCTTCAATATTCCTGTGACAGTCTCCACAGGCAGACAATGGCAGCTTCTGGTTACTTCTTCGCCCTGGAGAGCCACTTCGGGTATAAGTGGATCAACGGGAATTGCTGAACTGACTCAGGCCGTTCACCCCTGGTATTTCCTCCAGGAGCTGAGATAGGTCTCGCTGGATCTCAAAGATCTGGGGCTCAGTCAAACTTCCACTGGGCTAGGTGGCTGGTCACCTTCCTAGTCTCCATGCTCACCCTCCCAGTAGAGGGTATGAAACTTCTTTTGACCTCCTGGTCTCCCTGACTGTAATGTCCTTTATTACCTTCCAAGCTTCTCTGACGGAGGCTTTGAAACCCACCAGGCACAGGCAGGGCTGCTCCAGAGGCAATGGGTTCCATCATGCCCTTCCTTGCTCAGCCAAAGCAAGCGGGGGCCTCCCTCTGACATACCCTTGGGGGATATATCCTGCTCCAGATATGGTTTCCATCACCTCCACTCTTCCAAGGAGCATGACTCTCTCTCCCTTCTCTTTATTCATAAAAGGTTACTCCCTGGTTCTCCCTTGGCCAACCCATTTCCATAGAAACTAAGAGACCTGAGTTTGAATACCAACTACCACTTACTAGCCATGTGTCCATTGACCAACTTATTGTCTTGAAGCCAGTTTCCTCATCTATAAATAGGGAGATGTTGCCCTCATAACACTGTTGCAGATTTAAACAAGATAATATTTGTAAGGTAATGCAGTAACTGAAATAGTCACTGATCCTGGAAGAAAGTTCATGTTCAATTAATAGTGGCTAACACTGGTTCCTATGACAACTGTCGCCAGGCCCAATCTTTGGTCCTTAATCTGTTTGCCAGAATTCATCCTGTAGGTTGCAAGTAAGTTGTTATGGAAGGAGCAAGTTCTCCAGCTTCCACAGGGAGTCCCTCTTCGCCTATCATGCCTACACTGTTCCCTGGGAGTCTAGTGGGCTTGTGGCATGGATGAGGGGCTCTACAGTTTGGGCCAAAGGCAAGGCACTTCCTCCTCTGGTAGGTGGACCCCTCAAGCCTGAAGATGGTCACTCTGAGGGCTCCCTGTGGACTTCAGCCCACCTTACCCAGCTGTAGGTAAGAAGTGGCTGACCCTGCACTATGAGGCCACAGTTCCTCCAGCTACACCTGTCTCTAGGCAATGACTCACTTGTCAGTGCCCCTGGGGAGACCCATCTGTTCAAGCACTTGTAATTTTCCCTTCTCTGAGAGTCTCCGAGGTGAGAGGGCAATCCCATGGACCCAGGACCCAGGGGAACCCCCAGACTCAGCACTAGGAAGCCTTCCTTTCTTCTCACTTGGTCCCCAGACTTTTAAACAAGGTGCTGCCCACAGTCGATGCCAGGAAAGAGGAAGGGAGCAAGCAGTTCAGAGAAAGGCAGGAGAGCCTGCCAGGATGTGCAGCCGTGCTTCTCAAGAGACTGTCCCTCCTCTGCCATCTGGGTAACTTTCCCCACCAGGACAGTTTCCTGACTGTGCAGTGGCCAGTTGTGTCTCTACAGGCACATTTTCTCCCCTTCTGCCCAAGTCTCTGCCCTGAGCCCTCAGGTCAGCCCTTTGACAGCCCCAACACAGCGGAGTGGTCCTCCCAGCTGAGCCTGACCTCCTTCCAGTAAATGAGGCCCTGGTCATGCTCCAGCTAGAGCCTCCTCTCATCCCTAGTAACAAGCTGCCCCTAGTAACTAGGCTAAGGAGGCCACCTTCCCCGTGGCCACCCCATGGCTGGTGTCCATCCCTCTGAGGTTTGGTGGAGTGCAGCCCCAGGAAGGGAGTCCCGTGCAGACAGGAGCCCAGCCTTCCCGGCATCTCTGTCCCTGCTGACCTCTCCTTGGTAACCTTTAGCATACTGAGGCTGGCTGGCTAACAAACAAGCAATCAAAACCCCAACAAGCACAGAGGAAACATGAAAGCAGTCAGACCAACAGATTCAGACCAGAAAATCCCCATTGAAAGTGTTTGAGTCCCGGACTTGATGGACAGGGGCAAGGGTCCAGGCCTGAACCCTGCATAAACCCTCTTGAATGAATCGCAGGAATACATAAACCGATTTCACTTAGCACTGGGCCTCAGTAAACTGGGTCCAACTTCTCAGGCTGGACTTCTTCCAGCTTCGCGACCCCTTCTTCTCCCAGCACCCCTCCCTACGGAAAGAAGGGGAAAATTAAAGGCTGAGACAGGGAAAATGCGGGGGCTTCGGAGGAACACACCCTCTCCACAGGCCCAGGTTGCTCCAACCCTGCTGGGGCCTCAGGGCTCAGCTCTGGGATTTCCCCACCTTTGCGGGGCAGGAGCAGCTCCTCTTGGGCGGGGAAGGAGGCAGGGCCGGCTCGCCTCCGGGTTCCCCTCTCCCGACAGACCGGAGGAGCAGGAAGCTGCAGCTCCGAGGCCCACCCAGGCTTCAGCCCCAGCGGGGAGTGCACGGAGCAGGGAAGGGAAGAGAAGGGCAGGGAGGCGGCGCCGACCCCATGGCAGCCGACCCCATGGAGCAGCGGCTGGGCAGCCTCCCCGTCTTCACCCGCGATGACTTCGAGGGCGACTGGCGCCAAGTGGCCAGCGGCGGCTTCAGCCAGGTGTTCCAGGCGCGGCACAGGCACTGGCGGACGGAGTATGCCATCAAGTGCGCCCCCTGCCTCCCGCCCGACGCCACCAGGTACCTGCCCGCCGCGCCCTCCCCTTTCTCGGAGGAGAAACTGAGGCCGGGCAAGCTTTGGGCCAGGGAGCTTGAGAGGGAGGAATGGGCTGAGGACTGTCCCCTGCGGCGTTTCTGAATTGCACTCAGTAGCCTGCCTGAGCCTCCCAGGCACAGCCATACCTGTCTCTCTACCTGAAATAGAGTTGGCACACCATACCTGTTTGTGGACTCCACAGAGGTCAAAGGCAAGCGGGAACTACTCACCAGAGACGCCGCTGTCCATCTGACCTTCTGAACCTGTCCTGCCTCCTTCCCTCCTTCTTGGCTTTTGACCATTCTCTGCCACCCTCCTACCCACCAGGGCAGGGCTATGGTTTCTGGGAGGCTGTGGCACTTTGCTCAGTGATCTGCAGGGAATCATGTTCTCTCTTCCCATGGTGGGGGATGGGGGGTGGCCCCTCCCAGCCAGTGCAGTCTGGGGAGGTTGGGGGATGGAGACCGCCAGGCCTGATGGCCTGTCCGGGCTCCTAAAGGGTCAAGTCTGGAGCTCTCTGATCCCTGTTTTTGTATTTGTCCCTTGCTCTCATCATGAGCACTACAGCCATGCCTTGCATGACCTCATTTTTCTCTTCCTACCTCTTTCCCACTGTTTCCATTGGTATCTGCCTTCCCACTGAGATGGGCTCCAGTCTCATTGCCGCCTGAGTTGCATATACTAGCACACAGCTCTGAAGAAGACACTAGGGATGTTAAATCTGAGCATGATAACCGTGTCCTCCTCCCAAGGCTCTGGGACATCATTAGAGAGCCTGGGGCGGGGGACCTCTGTGACTGGCATCTGGCTTGGATGCTATCCGTGGTTCTCCGGGATTACCATGCAAACTCTTAAGACACAGCCTCAGGTGCCACACACTCAATTCCCAGACCTTCACCCACCTCATGAAGAGAGGAAAAGTGAGATTGCCTAAGGCCCACTCACCTTCCTCCCTCAATATCTGCCTGTTGGTTTTGGAAGAGGGTCAGATTATGCTAGGATTTGTCCAAATCGTTTATAGCCTTTGGAACGTAGAACGAAAGGAAACAGATGGCATCGACATTACACTGTGAGACATTGATGCTAACTCCTGTCACTTTCCCTTCCAAGTTCTGGGAATTCCCTGGGTGGAGGGGTAAGAGAATTCATGGTAATTAAGGCTTACTATGTGTGGATTACTATGCTAGGAGCTTCACATGCATTACTTCACTAGATCCTCTTTCCAGCTATTCATTCATTCATCCACTTGACAATTGCTTACTGCTCTCCTACTATGTGTCAGGCACTGTGCTATACCCTGGGTTAATGATGAATGCAACAGATGTGCCCTTTCTCTCCAGGAGCTTGCAGCCTGGGGTGGGGCAGGGAGAGACATTAACCACATAACCCCACATGTAAATGTAAATATGCTACTGTGAGAAGCTTAAGAAGGGGAGATTTATGCTTCAAGGAGAACTCATTAATAGAAAGCTTGACTGAGATCAGAAAACGTTTCCTTGAGAAAGTTACACCACAGCTGAAATGTGAAGAATGAGTATAAATTAAGTAGGTGAGGAGGAGAACGTTTTCTAAGAACAGACAACAGGGTTGTGCAAAGAATCTGTGGCAAGAGGGACATGGTAAGTACAAAGATGGGCAAAGGCCATAATGGCTGGAGTTGGGAGAGTGAAAGAGCAGTGGAAAACCCGGAACATTAACAACCAGGTAGTGGTGGTGATAACAAGAGGGACTAATCAAAATTGTAGTATGGAGACTGTATTGGGAGGGGTAGAGTAGATGCTGGTCAGGCTAGGAGATTATTGTCTTCATTCTGACAAGAGATTGATGATCGAGGCTAGACTGGAGTGTTGATAGTGGAGATAGGAAAGGAATGGATTAAGCCATGTTTAGAAGATAAAAATCCACCTGACTTGGTGCTGGGTTAGTTATGGGGAGGGTCATGATGAGGAAGAGGGGTATTAAACTACTTGATGTCTGGCTTGCCCAAAGGAATGGAGGATCCACTAAAATGTCCACTCCGTGAGAATGTCTGTTTTGGTCACAGCTCTGTCTCCTGTGCCTGGCACATAGTTGGTGTTCAATCAATATTTATTGAATAACAGTGTTGGCAATTAATGAAGAGAATATGAAAAGAGGCCCAGGATTGGAGAAGAATATCATGAGTTCAGGTTTGAACCTGTTGAGTTTCAGATGCCTTTAAACAGCCAAGAAGAGTTGCCTAGTGAACTTCAGAGTAAAGGTTGGCACTAACAATATTAGAACTTGGGAGTCATTTGTTATAAGTGATCGTTAAAGCTAGAGCATGGATGAGGTGCATTCATTCCAAGCACCAAGTGAAGAAAACAAAGTCCCTTTCCTTATGGAGCTTATAATCTAAAGGAGGAAGACAAAATAAATAAGCAAATGAATAATAAACTTTTTAGCTATAGCACTGTGACCACCTGACCGTCCTTGATTAAAATATCTAAGGAGAGTTGAGAAGTCTGATTTTTCAAGAAATTGTTTAGTTTAAAAATATTAATGTGTGGCCCTCTGTGTATGGGGGAGATAAGAGTTGGGATGGGTTGCTTTTTATATAGACTTCTCTGTGAAATCATTCCTAATCCGATACCACTTGAGTAGAGATTGGAAGCAAATGAAGGGGCAATCCATGTGGCTCTGTTAGGAAGGAGTGTTCTAGGAAGAGAGGACAGCAGGTGCAAAGGTTCTGAGGTGGGACCACACTGGGCATGGTGGAGGAACAGTGAGAAGCCCGTGTGACTGGGGTAGAGTGAGAAGGGAGTGATTAGTAGGAGATGAAGTCAGCAAACTATTCCTGAGATTAGGGACAAATCTTATGGGACTTTGTCAGCCATGAAAGAACTTTGGCTTTTCTTGTGAACGAGAAAAGAGCCATTGGAGGAGGGCAGTGACATGATGTGACTTCGATTTTAAAATATGGCTTTGGCTGCTGGGTTGAGAATAGATTGTGGAGAGGAAGAAAGTCCAGTTAGGAGGCTTGGGCCGAGATGCACCTTGGGGGAGAGGTGGTGAGACGTGGCCAGCTGCTTGCTCCACATTACTTCATTTGAAGGTGGAGCTGGCGGGATTTGCCAAGACTTGACCGTGGGAAGTGAGAGGAAAAAAGGAGTCAAAGATGGCACCAGGGTTCTATTCTGAGGACAAGAAGGACAGAGGCCCCATTCACTGAAGTGACAACAGCTGAAGGAAGAGCACGTTTCAGGGGAACATCAGGCGGTTAGCTTTAGATGCATTTGGTATCGAATATCCAGTTGGAGATGTCAGATTGACTAGAGAAAGATTATAGAGAGAGAGGAGCAGAGAAGAGGGGCTTGGACCAAACCCTGTGGTCAAGTAACATGATATGAGCCTGCAAAGGAAACAGAGGAAATGACCGTAAAGGTAAGAGAAATGCAGGAGAATGTTGACAAATGGTTCAAGTAGTGGAGTTTCAAGAAAGAGTCAGAGATCTGAACTATCCACTGAGAACTGAAACTTATTGGTGAGACGTAGCAATACAGAGGTTGTTGATGACCTTAGCCACAGGTGTTCAGGGAAGTGCAGATGCCAGAAACTAGACAATAGTGGGTGCAGCAGGTTGAGGAAGAGGACAGACAGCCGCAAACGCTTTCAAGAATTCTGGGTATGGAGCCATGAACAAGCTGTGCAAGGCAGTTACAATTATTCCCAGTTTTTAGTTTAGAAACGGAGGCCCAGAGGATTCACTTGCCCAGGGTCATGCAGGTATTAAGGGGTGGAACTGGGATTTGAAATAAGGGCAATGTGATCCCCACATCCCATGCTTTTTTCCAAGTCATGGCAGATGTCATTGGTTCCTGTGAACCCAAGAGGATGAGAGAAGACAGATTAAAAATATCACAGAGGTGGCACGAGCAAGCAAGATCAGGAGAAACCTACACTAACCAACCTGTCCAGATGCCAGGAAGAGCATGTGTTTTTCCCAAAGTTTGGGGCTCTCTAGTCGGCTTCCCAGGGAGGCCCTGGGAGCACATCGCCAGCAGGCTCTGGCTGTTTTGCAAACACTGTGCTCTCAGATATGCCATTTTTCCTTAATCCCCATCCCCGCAATCCCAAAACAAACTATAACAATTTGCATATTTACTGTTCTGTGGGCACATACAGTGAAATGAGCAACAGGGTTTGCAAACACTTCTTTTGTAAGGCCCTCCCTTAAGTCTTGACTTCTGTTCGTTCCAACTCAACAAAGATGTATTGTGCAGTGCATGGCAACGTGCTCTGGGAATTACAGCAAAGAATAATTACAGTTCATCCATAAAATGGAATAGTGTGCAACCATTAAAGATCATGCTTCAGGAGAACAGCAACGCGGGGAAGTGCTCGTGCTCCACATACTATGTGTCCAAAGGGAAAGAGAAGAAGGTGGGTGTGAAAGAGAGAGAGTAAGGGGGAGAGATACCTTGAAGGTGGATAGTAAAGCCTATACTAAAATGTCAGCAGAGGCTAGCTCTGGAGGGTTGCATCCCTGGTCATTTATTTTTCTGTATATAACTCTCTGATTTCCTATGTTTCCTACAAGGTATACGTATTACTTCCATAATTAAAGTGGTCATAAATGATGTTTTAAAGCAGAAGCACGCGGGGCATCATGTTGGTCCTCCAGGGGCTTACTTAGATTTAGGGATTTATCTGCCCTTTGCTCCCATCCCCCAGGAATAAAAATCTACTGGGTGAGATAAATATAGAAACAAGCAACCAAAATAAATGGCAAACTGTGATACATGTTTTTTTTGTGGCCACCTCTGCAGAATGGACTGGCCCCTAAACCTTCAAACTCCTTTATTTTCTGCCTTGTTGCTGCCGGACTGTCATCTATGCTGCCAGCTAAGCATCGCTTCTTCTCTCTTTCTTTTTCCACTACCTTGCAAGCTCCCGAGGCTTCTCTGGGTCCTCACAGCCTGGCATCATGGCTACTTTATGTGTTCTGCTGGTTGCTGTAGTAGTGAATGGGTCACCCTCTTCCACATCTTGCTCCCCCTCTCCATAGCTCCGATGTGAATTACCTCATTGAAGAAGCTGCCAAAATGGAAAAGATAAAGTTTCAGCACATCGTGTCCATCTACGGGGTATGCAAGCAGCCCTTGGGCATTGTGATGGAGTTCATGGCCAACGGCTCCCTGGAGAAGATACTGCCCACCCACAGCCTCTGCTGGCAGCTCAGGTTCCGTATCATCCACGAGACCAGCTTGGCCATGAACTTTCTGCACAGCATTAAGCCGCCTCTGCTCCACCTGGACCTCAAGCCGGGCAACATCCTCCTGGACAGCAACATGCGTGTCAAAGTAAGGGCTCTGGCCGATCCCCTGCCCCTTTTCACTAGAGGATTCCCTCCAGGTGAGCAGAATTATCCACCTGCCTGACTGGCCTGTCAAGAGTTTTAAGCAGTTCCCTTCATGGACATATTCTAAAGGCAGGGATCACACTGCAACAGAGAAGCCTAAGCAGTGAAATTTGGGGCATGACGCTGGGTAACCCTCTTTGGACTCAGTTTCCCGTTTCTAAATTGGATAGAATAATCTCTACTCTCCCACGTTTTCTTTTATTCAGATGGAGACCTGTGTAAATGAGACAATCCCTAAGAAAGGGCATAATGGACAATTTTTCACTTTCTAAAACATGCTGCACTCTTTTCTGCCCCAGAATCTTTGCACCTCTGTCCCCCCACTGCCCCCTACTTATCTAGCAAATGGGTACCCACTATTCAGCTCTCAGCTTAAACATCACCTCCTCAGAGGGGTCTCCCCTGATCTACTCCAGCAGGTGCCCACTGTATACTGTCACTGTACCTCTGATTCTCCATATTCCTAACCCCAATGTAAGTATACAATCATTTTTGAAACACTTTTATTAAGGACTGAACCCCCTATTTGAATAAGTATTTACGAGGATATGGAGTGTGTGTTGGTGGGGGTAAGGGGGCTGTCTCATTTTCCTTATCTGCTGCCCAGTCCTTGGTCCACAGCCATACTGGCCCTCAATGCGTAGCCAATTTGACAAATGAATGACCCAACAGGTGGGAGCAAAGGGAAGGTAAATGTCCATTGTGTGAGTGTTTCAGGGCCCCTGGAGGTGGGATAAACAGCCCACTGAAGGTGGCAACTTCGTCCATAGTCTCCGGGTAATGTTAACATCTACCACGGTCCTAACTACCTGCCAGGCACTGTTTAAGTGCCTTTTGCATGGTACCTCATTTAGTGCTCACAATAGCACCGAGTTAAATGCTCATATTACTAACACTTAACAGATGAAGACACTGAGGCTCTGAGAAGATAAGTAATTTGGCCAAGATCATCCAGAGAGTAAGGGTAGCACCAGGAGAGAGTGTCATAGAAAACCACTACTCTACCCTGGAACAGGCAGATCGCAGTGGAAGTGAGAAGCCATAGCTGTTTTCTGTCACTAGGCTCTATCACGGCCTTATCCCGCTTTCTCCCAGATTTCAGACTTTGGCCTGTCTAAGTGGATGGAACAGTCCACCCAGATGCAGTACTTCGAGAGATCAGCTCTGCGGGGCACACTCAGCTACATCCCCCCTGAGATGTTCCTGGAGAGTAACAAGGCCCCAGGACCCAAATATGATGTGTACAGGTGAGAGGGAGGCCCAGCGTGATGCCACACACCCAGCAGGCAGCTCGCTGCCACCACTCTGCCTGGCCCCTATGGCCCAAAGGGCAAGGCAGTGCAGGGATAAAGTCTGGCCCAAAGAGGAGGGCTGGGGAGGACTCTGGCTGGAGAGGCTTAGGGGTAGGGCGGACTCTGGCTAGAGAGGCAGAGGGGTGAGGGGGACTCTGGCTGGAGAGGTAGAGGGATGGAGAGGACTCTGGCTGGAGAGGCTTGCCTGGGACTGTGTGAACTGTAGGCCATCCGGGCTGGGGTGATCTTGGATGTTCAACTACGTCATTCAGGAAGCGTTTTCTGCATCCATAGCTTTGCAATTGTCATCTGGGAGCTCCTCACTCAGAAGAAACCATACTCAGGTAGCAGGTGGCTGTGGCTCTGTGTGGGGTGGCAGGAGGGCCCCTGGGATGGGCTCCTGGATGGGGCTGTGGGAGGACTGAGGTTGAAAGGGAGCTCAGTGGCAGCTTTGTATGGAACTGTATTCTCTTCAAGGATTCCTCTCCTCACCCTCCTTCTTTCCTGCCTTTATTTCTAGAGCTCATGTCACAGCTAAGGAAAGAAAAAGTCAGCCCAGCCCCCAGCCCATGCTTTGTGGCTCCAACTTCCTTGCTTCCAAAGTGCCCTTTCTGCCTTCTCATACCCCTGCCCCCTGCCCTCTAGATGCCAGGTAAAAAGAATCCAGGAAACTTGGGCAACCTTGCAAAGTTGAGAGTCAGAGCCTTTGCCTAGGCCTGTCTATCAGCTCTGCTGCCTTTGGAACAGCACAGACCTGCAATGTGGGGTCATGTCTGGTCTGGGATTTGGCTGGAGCCAGACAGAACCTCGAGTAGATGAAAATCTAGCTGTTCACTCACCAAGCATTTATGGGGCCCGCACTGCGTGTATACACTGTCAGGATCCTCAGAGCCCACGTTTTCCTCTCCAGCTCCCCTCTAGCCCTACCTCCCAGCACCCACACAGCCTGGGCCCCCCTTGCAGGTTTCAACATGATGATGATTATTATCCGAGTGGCAGCAGGCATGCGGCCCTCCCTGCGGCCTGTCTCTGACCAGTGGCCAAGCGAGGCCCAGCAAATGGTGGACCTCATGAAACGCTGCTGGGACCAGGACCCTAAGAAGAGGCCATGCTTTCTAGGTGCTCATCCAGCATCCCCTGCCCAGGGACTGGGAACTGCGCGGGGCTGGGAGGGGAGGTGACTGAGTATTCCTGGGAGCTGTGCAGAGACACTTTTGGTACTATGGCCTAGAAGTACTTTTTTTTTTTCAGAGACAGGGTCTCTGAAGCCCAGGCTGGAGTGTGGTGGTGCGATCATACCTCACCATAAGCTCAAACTCCTGGGCTCAGGAGATTCTCCCACCTCAGCCTCCTGACTAGCGAGAACTACAAGCACATTACCATGCCTGGCTAATTTTTAGATTTTTTTTTCAAAGCATGGGGTCTTGTTATGTTACTCAGGCTATTCTCAAACTCCTGGCCTCAAGTGATCCTCCTACCTCATCCTCCCAAAGTGCTGGAATTATAGGAGTGAGCCACTGTACCTGGCCTAGAAGGCCTATTTTTTTTTTTTTTTTTTTTTTGAGATGCAGTTTCACTCTTGTTGCCCAGGCTGGAGTGCAATGGCACGATCTCAGCAACCTTGCCTCCTGGGTTCAAGTGATTCTCCTGCCTCAGCCTCCTGAGTAGCTAGGATTATAGGCACAAGCCACCAGGCCCAGCTAATTTTTGTATTTTTAGTAGAGATTGGGTTTCTCCATGTTGGTCAGGCTGGTCTCGAACTCCTGACCTCAGGTGATCAACCCGCCTCACCCTCCCAAAGTTCTGGGATTACAGGTGTGAGCCACCGCACCTGGCACTAGGACTTTTTAAGGCAGACTGCATCGTGGGGCTGGCAGGGTGGCATTGGGAGCCAGGTGCTGCTGAGGATGGGGTCTGGGCTCTGTGTGTGTTAATGCATGTCCCTGTGGAAGGTGGAGTAGAAACCCTCAGTACCAAAAGGCAGAAGCCACAGCATCTGGGCCTGGCCCTGTCACCAAGCTCTCCAGGCAGCCCTGGGTTCTTTCAGAGTTCCTGTTTCCTTATTTGTAAAATGTTTCCAGGCCATGAGGTCACAGGCTGAGGGTGGCCCATAAGGTTAACCAGTTCTTTGGGGATTTTGAAAATGCACCTGTTTGTAAGTGTGAGCATCTTAGAGATCCCCTAGCCTTGACCCCTCATTCTGTGGGCAAGGACCCTGATAACTCAGAGGGTCAGTGCCTTGCCGAAGGTGCCTCACCATGACCCAGGTTTTCTGCGTTCTTGTGCATGTATATGAATCTATGTGAGCCCAGGAATGGATTTTGGGAGGATACAGAAATGTCAGGGTATCTAAAATAGGGAGCGTACTGCTGGCCAGCCTGCTGCTTCCTTTCCTCTCTTTCTCCCCCTCATGGAGCAGACATTACCATCGAGACACACCTACTGCTGTCACTGCTGCAGAGTCCTGTGGCAGACCCAGAGAGCGAGGCCCTGGCCAGGAAGGTATCTTGCAAGCTGTCGCTGAGCCAGCCCCTGGAGGTGAGTATGTGAACTGGGCAGTCCTTACAGTCATGCTAAGCGGGAGCCACTGTGTGGACTGTGTGAATTCTGACCAGACACTGAGCACTCATGCACAGCCCAGTTCGGGGCTACCTCCATCCAGAGGGGTCACCTTTCCCTAATTTGTGGGAAGGTGCTCCAAGAGATAGTGGTAGCTGAAGCGCAGAGCCCCTGGGAGGGACATACCTTCTCTCACATGTTTGGGACCAAGCAGAGTCCCGTCCTGCAGAGGAAGACCTGGCTTTCCCAAGCTTTCATGCTGAGGGTATCAACACCATCCCTCTGCTCTCCTGTCCCTGCTCTAACACGGGAACCAACAATGGGTTGGCATGGGGCTCCCCTGGCTGAACTCACAGATCTACCCCGAAGTTTAAGTGGCTCAAGGGGAAGGCAAGGCCCTGAGCTGCCTCTTTCTGAGGGTCTCTCCTGCTCAGTGTTTTCCTCTAGACAGCTGGAGATAGTCATGGTAAAGGATAAGGGTCTCCCAGAACAGAGCGGGATATGAGTCCTGACAGTGACCAGGAACACTTGAGAGAGGGGAGGAGGGCACAGCCTAGAACTGCACCACTGATCTGCCCTTCGCCTGCTGGTTATGCCTCCCCAGGTTAATGAGGACATCACCCAGGAACTGATGGACAGCGGTGAGTCCGGGTGCCACAGATGGGACCAGAGAACTCGCAGCAGAGAAAGTAGACTCAAACCACACCCTCTCCCCATCCCCCTAACCTCTCCCTCCTCCTCAGGCCTGTCACACATCCAGGGTTTGGGGGCCCTTTTCCAGCACCCAGCTGCATGTTCAGAAATGCACATCCCCTCACAGAGCCTAGCTGCCTCCCCTTCAGGTCCGTGTCCCTCCAAGACCAGATTTCCCCTTTCCTAACCTGAGAGGTGAAGGCCTGGTTCTCAAGACTGCTGCATGTTAGAATTGCTGGGAAAATTTAAAAAAAAAATGTTTTGCCTTGGGCACACCCTAAACTGAGTAAACCAGTTGAGGTTAGGCCTTGGTAGTGATCATTTTTGTCACTTTAATTCTAATATTCCACTGGGTAGAGGAGGATGGTGATCCTTAAGACCTCAGAGGGGAGTTTAGATCATAGAGTCGCAACCACAAGCTTATTTCCAACTTACACTTACTCACTTCGCCTCTGGCCCTCACCTGAAAGTTCTTACCTACACAATTTGTCCTTCCACTGGTACAATGAGCTGATCATGGTTTTTCCCCTCTTTACTGATCCAGATATGGATGCTCAAAGAGGCAGAGAATTGGCTAAGGTCAGGGGATGCTGAGGGGTGGAATCAGGATTTACACTCAGGCCTCTTGAGCCCACTGCTCTTTCCACCTCATCTATGGGGAAAGGACTGCAGGACTCAGCTCTCTAGGACAACGGAGCCAGAACGCGAATAGTAACAGTCATGACTGTGTAGAGAGCCTTGCTTAGGAAAGGCACTGCCCTTCCTGCTCTAGCCTCTGTTCCTGGATGGTACTTCCAGGAGACAGGGGGATGGCCATGATGACCTCTGGACAAGTCACAGGTCTTTTTTTTTCCAACCCCATCTTCCTCCCAGCAGACTCAGGAAACTACCTGAAGGGGGCCCTTCAGTTCTCCGACTGTGAGAATTTGGTCCCAAGCGATGAGGAGCTGCACATCTATGAGAACAAGGTCACCCCCCTCCACTTCCTTGTGGCCCAGGGTAGTGTGGAGCAGGTGAGGCTGCTGCTGGCCCACGAGATAGACGTGGACTGCCAGACGGCCTCTGGATACACACCCCTCCTCATTGCCGCCCAGGACCAGCAACCCGACCTCTGTGCCCTGCTTTTGGCACACGGTGCCGATGCCAACCTGGTGGATGAGGACGGCTGGGCCCCCCTGCACTTTGCAGCCCAGAATGGGGATGACCACACTGCGCGCCTGCTCCTGGACCACGGGGCCCGTGTGGATGCCCAGGAACACGAGGGGTGGACCCCCCTTCACCTGGCTGCACAGAATAACTTTGAGAATGTGGCACGGCTTCTGGTCTCCCGTCAGGCTCACCCCAACCTGCACGAGGCTGAGGGCAAGACCCCGCTCCACGTGGCTGCCTACTTTGGCCATGTTAGCCTGGTCAAGCTGCTGACCAGCCAGGGGGCGGAGTTGGATGCTCAGCAGAGAAACCTGAGAACACCACTGCACCTGGCTGTGGAGCGGGGGAAAGTGAGGGCCATCCAACACCTGCTGAAGAGTGGAGCAGCCCCCAATACCCTTGACCATAGTGGCTACAGCCCACTGCACACTGCAGCTGCCAGGGGCAAATACCTAATCTGCAAGATGCTGCTGAGGTACGGAGCCAGCCTCGAGCTGCCCACCCACCAGGGCTGGACACCCCTGCATCTAGCAGCCTACAGGGGCCACCTGGAGATCATCCACCTGCTGGCTGAGAGCCGCGCAAACATGGGTGCCCTTGGAGCTATGAACTGGACTCCCCTGCACCTAGCTGCACGCCAAGGGGAGGAGGCGGTGGTGTCAGCGTTGCTGCAGTGTGGGGCTGACCCCAATGCTGCAGAGCAGTCAGGCTGGACACCCCTCCACCTGGCAGTCCACAGGGGCACCTTTATGAGTGTCGTCAACCTCCTGGAACATCACGCAAATGTCTGCGCCCACAACAAGGTGGGCTGGACACCTGCCCACCTGGCCGCCCTCAAGGGCAACACAGCCATCCTCAAAGTGCTGGTCAAGGCAGGCGCCCAGCTGGACGTCCTGAATGGAGTGGGCTGCACACCCCTCCAGCTGGCCCTCCGCAGCCAGAAGCAGGCATCATGACCTTCCTCAAGGGCAAGGAGCCATCAGTGGCCACTCTGGGTGGTTCTGAGCTGGGAGCCCAAACAGAAATTTAGACAATTTGGCCATGCATGGTGGCTCACGCCTATAATCCCAGCACTTTGGGAGGCCGAGGTGGGTGGATCACGAGGTCAACGGATCGAGACCATCCTGGTCAACATGGTGAAACCCCGTCTCTACTAAAAATACAAAAAATTAGCTGGGCATGGTGGTGTGTGCCTGTAATCCCAGCTACTCAGAAGGCTGAGGCAAGAGAATTGCCTGAACCCAGGAGGCGGAGGTTGCGGTGAGCTGAGATCGCTCCATTGCACTCCAGCCTGGGTAACAAGAGCGAAAATTCGTCTCAAAAAAAAAATACAAAAATTAGCCGGGTGTGGTAGCACATGCCTGTAATCCCAGCTACTCAGGAGGCTGAGGCAGGAGAATTGCTTGAACCCAGGAGGCGGAGGTTTCAGTGAGCCAAAATTGTGCCACTGCACTGGGTGACAGAGTGAGACTCCATATCAAAAAGAAAGAAAGAAAGAAATTTAGACAACTTGGGTCCCTCGCCTGTATGGATTGGAATTGATGGAAGTGCAACTGGGCTTCTGGCAGGGCGTCTTCCCTATCTGCACTCTTCAACTGCCCCTTCGACATTGAGAGGAGACAGGGACCTGGGTGAAGGAGGCATGGGGAGGGGATCACTGTGGCCGTAGCTGAGGAATGGGCCCTGGCTTGGAGAGCTGCCTTCAACACACCCTCCAAGTCACTTTCAACAGACCCCAGCCCTCCTCCTCCTCCTTTATGGGGACACAAGCCCCCCAAATGAATTCCCTCTCCAGTTCAAGACACCTAGCATCTTTTACTACCTGCCTCTGAGTTCACAGGGGTCCTTGCATCCTAGCAGCTCCCCCTCTGAAGATGGAGGGAGGCACAGCGATGAGGGAAGTGGGATTCTCCCATCTCATGTCTTTTGTTCTTGGCTTCTTATCTCAGGATGGGGCAGGAGAGCCAGACACACGTGCTTTGCTCAAGGGGCAGAAGCTCAAAGTTCAAAGGAGGTTTCTGCTCACTATTTAAAGTCCTAGCCAGCCACCTGTTGCCACACTGACCACACCTTTCCAGTTGCCTGGGTCTCCCTCATGGGGGTATAGGAAGGGCGTGCTCCAAACGTGGATAACTCACCCTACGGAGATGTGAGGTCCCTGGTCCAGCGCAACCCTTTATCATGTCCAGTTTTATGGTCAGGTTTCAAACTCTGAAGTCAAGAAAGCTGTGGCTCTGAGTTTTCTGTTTAGAGATGGATTGGCCTGTGGAGCCAAGTTGCATATAGAGGCCAGTAGTGTTAGTATGGTGTGCTTGTGTGTGTATGTGATTTGTCTAATGTAGGGTACATGTGTGTGCTTATGTGTGTGTGAGTGCACATAAAGGCAGGAGGCAGGGGCAGCAGAGGGAGTTGGAGGTGGAGGGCGGTGATGGTGAGGGGTGGGTTATTTGGACTCAGTATGGAGCTTGCAGGGCTCATTTTTGTGACCACGCTCAGGCCACCTATCACCTTCACCTGTCCCGTTGGTTGTGGACAGAACTGTTCACACTAACTTTATGTGACCAGAGCCCTATAGCTCAGCTTCTAGGAGAATAGCCAACAATTGGGAGGGAGTAGGGACAGGATGAGTGTCCTGGGGTCCTAACCTGCTCCTTCTACCTCCCCACACTGCTGGACAGCACAGTAGAAGCAGCCCTTCCCACTCAGGGATGTTTTGCAATTGTCAGAAAAAAGAAATCATCTGTCCCAACTATTGGCCAGCTCTGAGCCAAGCTGATTGGCAGGCCTACCTCTATATGTCATTCTCCTGGGCTGGGCACTCCAGGCTGGGCATGTGGCCAGCAGCCTGGCATCAGCATAGGGTGAGAGAGGTGGGGCAGAGGAAATCTGTTGCCCACGTGCAGTCCTGTTGAATTAGCAAGTCCCTTTCAGCAGAGCTAGCAGCTTTGCGTCCTTTGTCACTTGGCTTCTGGACCATTGCTCCAGCCTGTTGGACCCTGAACCCTTCACCACCGCCTTGCCATAGCTTATAGCCACCGTAGAAAGCCAGATGTGAGCCCAGGAAGCTAGAGTGAGTCCTAGAGCCAGGGTTATAAACTGAACCCGCACATTAGAATCTCCTGAACAAGGGGCTTTTAAAATGTACCAACACCTGACCCTACCCTCAACCAATTAAACCAGAACCTCCAGGGTAGGATCCTGGCGGGAGCACCACTAACAATTCCCAGGTGAATCTAAAGAGCACCCAGAGCTGAGAAGCACTGGATCATCCCATGGTTTCTCTCTGTTCCCTTTTTTAGCATAACCTTGCAGTCAATAGCCAGCAGCCTGGGTGTCAGAGGTCTTTTTCTCTCCCATTTGGATTCCTGGGGACTGGAGGCAGGGGACACTCAGCTGACTGTGCCATCCTCCTACTTCCTGCTAGCTGCCCTGCTCAATCTCTTTAGTTTCACTGAGACTAAGCCTTAGGCAAAACTTGTAGTTAAAGATGCCCCTAGGAGTTCTATCTTTCCCAGAACATGCGAGAGCAGGAGGGAGGCGGAGAAGGCACAGGGCTGTTCGCTTCTCCTTCCACTCTGAAATCTGAGTCTAACTCTAAATCTAGGAATCTACAAGAGCCAGAGAAGGGTCTGGGGCTACATACTCCCAGCCAGGGGAGCTCAGATCAATCAGTGGGAGTGATCACGAGGGAACCAAAGGAGGAGAACAGTGGCAGGCTGATCCTGTTGGAAAGGGCAGAGAACTGAGAAAAAGCCTTGAAAAAAGGAGTTAGAAAAGGCAGGTGATCCTTTTGCACCTCATTTTCAGTGAATGACAGGGATGCCATGGAGATGTGGACAGAACCGTCCCCGGGAATCATTTCAGCCCTGGTGATCCTGAGTCTGAAGGAGATTCCTCCACCTCCTTCCCCTAAGAGAGAATAGGAGTGGTTACTTCAGGCCAGCCCTGGCCAACATGGCCCCGCATTGCCTACCAGCATCCTCTTCTGCCCTCTCAAGCCACTCCTAGCCAGACACAGACACACACACAAACACACACAGTATCCACTTTAAGTCCCATCTCAACACAGCTGCCTTCTAGGACTTCCCTAGGGATGTTTAGAATTGGGTTTGAATGAGGCCCTTGAAATTCCCAAGGAAAGGATCTCTAGTTGAAGTCCTATTTAGGGGACACTGGGGTCAGGGGATAAGAGTTCCCCAATTTCTTACTAGACATCTCCACTTGGAGGTCCCATAGACTCCTAAAACTCAGAGTGTCCAAAACTGAGCATTCTCTTCTCCCTCCACAAGCCTGACTTCACCCTTTATACCCCATTTCAAATGAAGGTATCCAAACTCCTAACTAGGAGCCATTCTGGACCAGCACCGGGAGGATGGAAACATACATCCGCACTGCTCAGTAGGATAGCCGCCAGCCACAGGTGCTACTGAGCACTTGAAATGTGGCTAGTGTGACCAAGGAATCAAGTTTTTTTATTTCAGTAAACTAAATGTGGGTAGGTGACAAAGTCTATACCTGTCTCGCCTCCTCCAAGTGGTTGCCGTGCGGCGAGGGGTTGATCAGGGAGGGCCTTCTGGGAGATGTGGATGTTGAGAGGACAAGGACAGAGCAGAAGAGGAGCAAAGCCTGGACTGGACTGAAGGGGAGAGGATTGGCTGGTGAGTGTGAAAGAGACACAGCTACTATGGGAGCAGAGAGTGACCAGCTGATGGAGGGGCAGTGCTATCCAGGCGCAGGTCAGGGAGGCGCGTATTCGGTGGGGAGACCTTAACGTCCATTCTGATTTGGAGCTCCCATGCAGGATGAGGGGCAGTTGGGAGCTGCTGTCAGTTTCCCAGAAGAAGGAGGATGCAATCAGAACACACCATGCATCCTAAAGACCTCTTCAGCTGTGCGCAGAATGAGGAAACGGGGGAACAGTGGTGGGAAATGGGGACCCTGCCCTAGGGGCTTCAGAGCCAGGCACACCTGGGTTGGCATCCCAGTTCTGCCCTTTGCTAGCTGTGGACTTCACCCAAACTTTCTGGGCTGCAGTGTCTGTATTTATGACAGATTTATTATCTCAGGGATGCACTTAGATCACGCATATCTCCAGCAACCATTGGTACTCACCATCACTTCTCTCCTCTTCCAGCTTTCTGCTCCTGTCCTTTCTCACCAGTGTTGCTCAGGCAACCCCCTCATTACCCTTTACCCATGTGACAGCCTCCTTTCCCATCCTAAACTCTGCTTGAACCAATCCAGCCCACCCCAAGGAGGACATTCCTGGGTCCTGAGAGATGGCACCCCTAGCCGGAGACACAGATAGCCCAGATTGTCCCACCTGGATGCCTTCTTGTGTTGGAAATGGAAGCTGTTGATGGAACCCTCCCGTTACGAAGCTTGGAATCCTAAAGGAGCAGGGAGGCTTGGCAACCTGTCTCTACAGCAAAGTGTAGGGCAGAGGCCCAAACGGGCTACCACGACTGTCTAGAAGGGAGGCGGGATTGCAGGAATCAGCAGAAGACTCATTAGGGCTGAAAAGTCCTGTAGGAAATGAGGAGACTGGGGAGACCATGTCCCTCTCCAAAGCCAACCTGGGGGGACTGAGCCCCAGGGAGAGAATGACAAGGCTCCAGGCCTTCAGCAGGGAGGAGAGGAAGGAGGGAGCCCCAGGACTCCCTGAACACGCAGATGGCAGCTCTGGGATGAGCCTGTGTTCAGGAACATTCCTTCCCTGATGCCCCCTGCACTTACCTATAAAACACATCTCACCAACAGGTGAGGGCCTCCAGGGAGTTAGGGCTCCAGCCCACTCTGAAACCCAGCAAGCCTTGCTGCAGCACCCAGCAGCCCCAGTCCCCTCTTCCTGCTAATGCTGAGTCTCCTTCTCCCACCAGTGCCTGCTGGGGTCCTTCCAGATCCAACTTGCCTGTCCCTGCCCATGAAGACTTCTCTGCTTGCCCCCCTGGAGATGCCCACTCCTTCCCCAAGGTCATTGTGTCCCAATGCCCAGTGCAGTGAGGTTGACAGAGCTGCTCTCAAGTCCACCTTCCTTGCTCATTGTGTGCCACGTCACCATGCCCTGCTTGTTTCTGTGTTCTGTCCAGTCCTCTCTCAGTGCCCTGGTGTCCGGGGCACAGAGGGCGCTTCCTCCTTGCTCATTGAATCAGACTAAAGGCAGCAGGGGTTTTTGGTGTAAGGTAATGTAAGGAACAGAGGGTAGGAACCAGGCTGGGCTGAGGTCAGGGAGGGAAACTGTGGGTGGCTGGATCTAGTGGACCCAGGCAGACCTAAAACTACCTTAGCTTGATGGTATAATCTAGCAGCGATAATGCTTATTTCTGGGTCATTGTAAGAATTAAATCTGATGTCCTGCCAATCAGAGGCCAAGGCAGTTAATAAGCACTCAACACATTTGTTTCTTGTAGCTCCTCCCAAATCAGTGGAATGCTTTTCTTGCAATAAGGCATAGACAGCCCATCCTTTGGGAGCCTTCTGGCGAGGAGGCTCTTGGAAGCTTCTGCCCGTTTTCCTTTGCCAGTGCATTCAGGAAAGGAAAGGGAGACTCCCCTTCAGTACCTTGGTGTGGGCTGAGACACTGAGACCCCCTGGGAAACACCTATGGGTCAGGTCAGTTATAGGGAAAGGGCCAGCCCCACTAGTTGGTCATGCCTGCTCTACTCAGAGCCTGGGTCAGGTCTGTGGCATCAGCTCTGGGAGGAAACCAGCAATGGGAGTTGTCTCCTATAGGACAGGGTCCTGCCTCTCTTGCCCCTCCCATACTTTCCCCTGCCCTGGATGCAGCACAGAGCCTGGTCCCCAAATGTGTCTCCCCACAACTTACATACTCCTGGGGGCAACAGACAGCATGTACGAAGTTGGACCTGATCAGGAAAATTCAGGTGTGGATGGCCCAGCTTTGTCTCTGCATAGTCCCCAGCTCCAGGCCCTTCCCCTCCCATTCCTGGAATTGCACCACCTCCCCACTTTCTGATAGCCATCCTTCACTTCCTGTGCAGCTCTGACTCCCCCTGGCCATGGGGTGCCAGGGAGGTGGCCCCCTCTCTCTGGTCTCACATGCAGCTCTGGGGCTCAGAAGCCAGGTGTGAATATGGGAGAAAGCCACATGCAAGTGTAGCAGTCATGCAGCACTTCCTATGAACTTGGGGTTGTCCCTGGCTCCAGTTGGGAGTTAAAGGTGCCCAACTGCCCTCCTAGGGCATGTCCACATGCCTCCTTGCCATTCCCTCTCTTGGCACCTCTCTGGGTCTCTGTTCCAGTGAGGCCTTATTTGCCAAGTAGCAGAACTGTGATGGGAGAGGAAGCAGGAAGCTATTTCTACCAGGTACCCCCTTCCCACTTCCGCTCTAACCCCACAAAGTGAGGGTAGGTCTCCCCACTCCAAAGATGGTCTGTTCTCCCTGCACCAGCTTCCTGGTTCCCTGTACCCATAGAACCTAGTGTAGCAGAGCCAGGGTCACCTGGTTGGCAGGAGAGGACCCTACAGCACCCAAACTGGCCCTCTCACTCCTGAAGCCCCACTAATAACTGCACCCCCTGCTCTCCCCGTACTCCCCACACACTTGCTTGCTGGAGTAGCCCAAATTCTGTTTACATGCACCCCAGGCTGTGACCCTACAGATCCAGTCCCAAACAGGAATTCTTTCTCTTTAAAAAAAAAAAATCTTCTGATCATCCTAGCCTCTTTCAACTGCACTCAGACTGGTCAGGAGGCTGGGCTGGAACGGACAATCTAAGATGTAGAGTCAGAAGATCTAGCCTGAAAGGCAAGCCACCCTTACTGTATGAGAGGCTTCTCTTCTATAAGTGGAGACGATAAGAATGCCCCTCATTCCAGGGGGGGTAGGAGAAGAACATGTCATCACGGAGGGCAAAGCTTGCAGAGAGGGCCCTGTGCAGAATGGGAACTAAAGTTGCAGACTCAGCCCAGGTCCTGGGATCCAGGAGGGCGGTGAGCCAGTGGGGCACAGAGAGGACTGGGCCACCAGGTAAAAGGAGCTATGCAGTCCCTGAGGACAGGGATGTTTTGGGAAAGATTCCAGATGGGAGGGTATGCTGGAAATACCCACGAGGCAGGCCGGGCTTCAGAGTTTCTAGTTGCAGGTTGCAGGCAATTGGCTGTGCCTGTGCTGAGACCGCCAGGAGAGCGGGATCTGCAGCTGCTTCTTTCAGGCCTCCTGCCCCAGTCATGCAGAAAGGAGTGGTCCACGCTGTCAGTCTTCCTGTCCCCACTGCTGCCCTACCGAATTATGCAAGGCCAAGGCACACCAGGGCTGCCGCGTCACATGTCATCTAGGAGAACGGTGCCTGGAGGTGTGCAGTGCTTGCCTGTGCTGTGTCCGCCCTCCCCAGGCTCTGCTTTGGGGGAAAATTGTTGATCACAACACTCAGATTGCTGTGATCTGACTAGACGGAACTCACAAAGGCAGGGCTTATGACCGTTCTTGACTGTTTTAATCCCAGCACCTCACCCAGGGCCTGGAGCACAAGAGTTGCTCAATAACTATTCCCAAGGAAGGCAGCAGATATGAAACAGTGCAATTTCTTAGTCTGCTGGACAACTCACCTTCTCATTCCCAGGACCTTTCCCCAGCCCAGGGCCACCTGAGAGTCCTCCAGGACCCAGAAGGAACAAAAAGGGGCTGAAGCCTCGAAGACTTGCCACCTCTGGGTCTGCTCCTTTGTGACTCTGTGATTTTGGTTCCCATCTAAGATGACATGTGCAAAGTGCCCGGCTGTGCCTGGCCCTTAGGTGGTAATCCTGGGCTGTGCTCTAGGAGGGAGGGGCAGGGGGCCGGGGTGCAGACTCCACCTGCTGTAAAGGCAAATGAATGATCATTTGATTAAAAGGCAGTCTACAGAGCGACACAGGCACAGACAGAAACCCAGGGAAAGGCAGAGAGGAGCGAAAACTGGAGGCTTCCTTTCTGCCCTGCCGTCAAGAGCAAGAGACCATCGTCAGGGCCTCTCTGGAGAGAGTCAGAGCCTGGGCCACCCCTTCCACCTTGTGTTCCCGTGTCGTGTCAGGTCCTACTCCTCCCATTTCTTTGCCCCTGAAGTGCTGAGGGGGGAGAGGGTGGATCCCAACCCTCCCCCTGCCCACTCTAGCTGTCAATCTGCTGTCTGGTAGAAAGACGTGAAGCCTCGTGACAACTGTGGGCAACTTTCCCCTGCCCCGCCTCCCGCCCCTGCCCTGCCCTCTTCCCCTCTGCTCCCTGTCAATGCTCTTCTCACTCTGCTCTGGGTCTTGCTTCACTCCCTCTCTCTCTCCCTCCCTTCCTTCTTCTTTCCTCTGTTTCCCTTTGTTTTCTCTTCCAATCCTCACAGCTGATAAGCCTGTATACCCTCGTAAGATTCCTAATCGTGGGTTATGCTTTTAAGCGTCCACCCAGGTCAACATCTTTCACAGACTTTGAGCATGGTATGTGTGCAATGGAGATGGGTTGGGTTCCTGGGGCTTCTATCCCTCTTGGGGACCTGATGCCT